AAAAAAAAGGCCACATGTTGTATGATTTCACTTACTGCACATGAAATGTCTATAACAGGTAAAAACATAAAGGCAGAGAATAGATTAGTAGTTGTGCAGGGTTAGAAAGAGAGAGATTGGAAACTGCTGGTGAGTATTGGGTTTCTTTTTTGGGGTGATAGAGATATTCGAAAACTATAGTTGTGATTATACAATCTTATAAATATAATAAAAATAAGTAAACCAGATACTTGACAATTGTAAATTTTATGATAGTCATTCATTGATATCCCTAGGGAATTAAGTACAGGACCCCACTCCCATACCAAAATCTGGAAATGCTCAAGTGCCTTTTATAAAATGGTATGGTATTGCCTGTAACCTACACACCTCCTCCCATACACTCTAAATCATCTCTATATTACTTATAATACTTAGTACAGTATAAATCTTATGTAGATAGTTACACTGTATTGTTTATGGTCTAATGACACTGAAAGAAGTTTGTACATGTTAAGTACAGAGGCAGTTTTTTCACAAATATTTTCAATCTGCAGTTGATTGAATCTGGACTTGTGGAGCCACCTATAGATGTGGAGGATGGACTGTGCCATTTGGTGTTATTTGGAATGGGGAATATAAAAAGATGAGGCTGGACCGGGTGTGGTGGTGCATGCCTGTAATCCCAGTGGCTCAAGAGGCTGAGACAAGATGATCAAGAGTTCAAAGCCAGCCTCAGCAAAAGGGAGGCGCTAAGCAACTCAATGAGACCCTGTCTCTAAATAAAATTCATAATGGGGCTGGGGATGTGTCTCAGTGGTCAAGTACCCCTGAGTTCAATCCCCAGTACCAAAAAAGAAAAGATGAGGCTAGGTTGGGGACTTTTAGGTGAATTATGTTTGAACTGGGTTGTAACATTGACAGCGATGAAGTAGAAGTTAGGAAATATCCTAAGAATATATAGAAAGATTGCTGAGAAGACTGAAGACCTAGTTGTAGTTAGATACTATGTAAATTTAGAGTAGCACCTTTTATTTGGTCATTTTCCTTCTCCATCTTAAGCCAAAATTTCATGTTGTTTTACATCTGGTGTACAGAAAAAGATCAAGGCAAGGGAATTAAAGAGGTGGGCAAGCTAGGCCCAGTGGAATGTGCCTCTAATCCCCACTGCTCAGGTGGTTGAGGAAGGAGGATTTTAAACTCAAGGCCACATTAGGCAACTTAATGAGACCTTGTCTCAAGAAAAAAATAAATATGAAAAGAGCTGGGATGTAGTTCAGTGATAGAGTGCTCCTGGATTAAGTCCCCAGTACCACCAAAAAAAGTGTTGGCAAAAGAACGTTTGAAATGTAGCCATGAAATCCCACCTGAACAGAGAAGAGAAAATCAAGGGTCAGTGAGGAGAAGGTCATTTGTAATAGGAGAAATTAAGAGAGCTGAAATGATAGAAATGGTCCAGGATTTTTTAATTTGAGGTTGAGCCAAATGACCTGATTTTTAAAGGATTTAGGGCTTTTGCCCATAAGGAGTGAAGTATGGAAAATGAGAAGGGCAAAATTCTTCCTCTCAACTCTTGTATGATTAGGGAGGGGATTTTTAGGGAAGAATCATAAGGCATCTCATGAGAGGATCTATTGAAGTGGAGAGGAAAGGGAGGAGAGGGCGTGAGAAGAGCCAGCTCCAGAAAACAGAAGTACAAATCACGCTTCCAGCACTGTCCAGCACATTTGGAGTGACATGGTCTCGTTGGTGAGATCAGACTGACAAGAAGAGCTTCTGAAACAATTTTAGTTGAGGAAAATTCCTCAAACTCCACATAATTTTCTTTGTTCTGGCCCCAAATATCAAAGCAATATTCTAATTATGATTTGGCTCCCCAGAGATAGAATGTGTTCATCGTCAATAATTAAGCTTGGTAGAATTCTCACTATAATTTTTGTAATCGTTATTAAAACATATTTTTATTATACATCTCTCTTTTTTTGAGTAATCAGTGCTATAGGGAATCTTTGGTTTTCCAAGTTGATTCAGAGTATAAGCCCCTGAGTTATACTGTTTTTGAAGCTTCACTGGTAAGTTTGCTCTGCAAGGAAACATCTGCATGATAGACCTACTATGTAAACCGCAGTGGAGAAGCAGACTTGCATATTGTTTTGCCTTTGTACAGATTTCTCTTCTTTCCTCTTTTGGAGCGGCATTCATTGCATTTCTTAAATGCTTTGCTTAGGATTTCAAAGTTCAGTTTGACCTCTGTACTGGGACATTATCAGGCCCAGATGCTGCACTTGAATGGCTTTTGGCATTCATTGGCTTGATAGCCATGATTCAGTTTGAATCACCCCCTCACGGACCAAATGAAAGCACATTCTTGCAGGATCTGTGCCATATTCTTGGGAATCATTTTATTTTCCAACTTATTAGACTAAGTTCAGAGGCCTTTGGGTTTCACTGGACTTTTCTTCATTTCCTTCTTTTGTTGTTCTTGGCCCCCTCACCTTCCACCCACTTTATTACTCATTTCTTAAGGGTCTGACTACTCAGAAACACTGAGAAAATATCTGAAGCCATATGGGTTGAGTAAAACAAACTTTCTAAGAGAGAGGGGCGGGAGAAAGAAATATGTGTTCTCTGAACTTCCTTTGTTTATATGATCTGTTTATATGTTGTTAAGGTTAAGGTTGTGTTGTCCAGCTGCCTCTCCACATTTCAAAAATGACTGAAGATATCTGGGGAACATTCTTAAAAGGGTCATGTTGGCATAGTGAATGAAAAGACACTTTATTTGTCTCCCACCAGATAATATGTCTAGTTTGGAGATGTGGGAGCAATGCCAAGCGCTTCAAATGCAGAATCTTGAGGTTCTTGAAAAGCCAGGGACTTCCAGGGACACTTTTAGAAAGAAACCAGTGAATGGAGCCCTTTTAAGATTTGGGGGTCTGTACCTGGCTCTTCAAATGATTGCCCACTACAATTAGGCTCTGTGATATCAAATTAATAGTTTTTTGTTTGTTTGTTTTTAAGGCATAGACAGAGATTTATTTAGGAACTTAGATGGATATTCAAGAAGAGTGCAGGAATTGATAGTTTTCTTTGGTAAAATGAACATTGGCACTTGGATAAGATAACGTTAGCAGCTCTGAAAGCCTGAGCTCTCATCTGTCTTGTAAATTATGAATTAAAATTCGAGTACATTAGAGTGGGAATCATTCTAAAAAACACGTAGAACAGAATTCTGTGGTGGTGTCAGAGCTATTCTGTTTATAAACACTCCCTGCACATGGCTTCAATGCCCTGTTCTGTGACTGAATGGGAAGTTCCTCTCGGTCTTCCAGGTTTTACCCACTGTAATGGGTATGATATATACTGAGATGCTTTTTTGTCACATTAAGCTGGTAAGCTATTTATGGAGCTGTCTGTTAAAAAATAAATTTAGAAGTGAAAATGAATAAGAAAAAGAAGTAAAACATCAGTATTAGCATTTGAGAGATAAACCACTCAACTGGAAATTGTTGAGAACATGGTATTGTTGTTGTCTGCATTTTCTTAGTATTTCCCAGAGCCAGAGGAAGCCTAGCTCAGCTGTGGTTGCTGTGCTTTCCTTTAATTGCTGTTTCACTAGGTCTCCGGAGCAGCAGCACCTGAAAGAACTGCTGAGGGAGCTCCTAAATGAATTCTTATAATTTGCTTCTCAATTCTACCAGTTGATGGAGGCCCTTTCTTTCTTGAGTGGTTTGCAGTTCCACTTAAGGGGTTGATGTTTGGGGTCACTATTGAATGTTTTGTTTGAATATCACTTTCATGATGAATGGGAAGCTGCTGCTTTTAGCTTTGTTGGGTGAAGTCCTTGGTGGTGAGCCTTGAAAGGAAAAAAAAAAAATTCTTTGTAGTGATATGCTAAATGAAATTACTCTCTTTGTCACTTTGTCCTTTTATCCTTTCTGTCTGATAACCTCAGGTTCTTGTGATTTATTTGTTTTCTTCAATTAAGCTTAGCTGTTTCCTATACCCAGGTGCATGCTATTTCTGCTGATGGTTATGATAGTGAAGTGGAACATATTTTTGACCTGGAAGTGTGGTTTCTTTGACTCAGAACCACATCAGTATGCCTTCCATCCTCCACTTCCTTTGCATTATTTCCTTTTGGAGGGCTCCATTTGTCACCATTTAATCTAAGTATGATTCATRTGGGACTAAGAACTGGTAATACTGTAATGACAATACTTTTCTTTATATGATAATACTCAAAGCACTTACTATCTTAGCCTTTCTCTTATGAAGCACTTTCAGTTTAATCCCTCTCAACAACCCTGTAGGTTAAGTCAGCAATTTTATCTGTGTCTAAGATGGTGAAATTAGAGCTCAAAAGAGGTTAAATACCTTGCTCAGTGTTACAGTGCTTTTGAGTTACTCTGCTTAACAGTTTCTGCAGGAAATGAAGAGTATTTTTGAAGATACCCTGGATGAATAAAAAGGAATTTTCCAAACCAAGTCCCAGTTGTTAAAATCAAACTTATTTTTAGTCTGGTCAGTTGATAAGACCAGAGTTAAAATAAGTTCCTAACCATGGAGGAATTGATGTGTCCAAGTCAGGAAAATGAATATCTAGGTCCATGTCTGTTCTGCAGCTGATGTGGTAAAGTTTTAATTTTTAATATTTATTTAATTTTTTTTTTTTAGTTCTCGGCAGACACAACATCTTTGTTGGTATGTGGTGCTGAGGATCGAACCCGGGCCGCACGCATGCCAGGCGAGCGCGCTACCGCTTGAGCCTCATCCCCAGCCCTGATGTGGTAAAGTTAAGCCTGGCTCCTAAATTAGTAGAACTTGAACTGGGGGACTAGGGCTGTAGCTCAGTGGCAGAGTGCTTGCCTAGCACACATGAGGCACTAGGTTCGATCCTCAGCACCACATAAAAATAAAATAAATGAATTGTGTCCAACTACAGTTAAAAATATATATTTTAAAAAAACTTGAACTGGAAGTAATTAAGCCATTAATTATTTTTTTATTCTTTCTTTCAGGAAGATGGAAAGCTTGATGACTAGTTCCACCCTGCCGCCCCTTTTTGCAGATGAAGATGGCTCCAAGGAGAGTAATGATCTGGCTACAACTGGGTGAGCAGCTGCTTTGGGACATTGGGCCTCTGTGTAGACTTCAATACAAAGCTTCTGACAAAGTATGAGATGCTAAAGAGGCAGTTTTGTATAATAAGAATAGAAGGTGCATTTGTTGTGTTTTTCAAATAGAGCGAGACCCATTGTAAACTTGCTTTCATGTGTCTTTCTCAGAACTCTGGTTCCTATGAACTGATAACAGCAATATATAGACCAACTATGACTACTGTTAAGAAAATTACATGGTCACCATTAAGGAAACACCTGCCACAGAGCTAGCTCTAAAAAACAAATTCATTTTGTGTCCAAATTGCTGCAGTTATTAAAATGATTTTTTCTCAGAGGTCAGCTTTTTAAATGTTTTGGTTTTCTTATTTGTTTGTTGTCGTGCTGGGCATTGAACATGGGGCCTCATGCATGCTGGACAGCTCTGTATCACTGAGCTACAGCCCCAGCCCTTACTGTGGTTCTTTATTCAAGATCTTAGGAGCTTTAGCTGACTTGTGCCCTTTTTGTCCCTACCTGCCACCCCATCTGTGGGATCTTTGGACAAATAAATAAAAGAATATAGAAAAGAATTATTAGGAGCAGTTCATCTCTTCCCTTAAAAAGTCTCTGTTTCACTTGAATTTGATCTTTTCTAGATATTTAGAAGTTATTTGCCAAGGAGAAAATATAACTAATAGATTTAAGTGCTGGTTAATTCCTAAGATAAATTATTTTAATATTCTTTAGAACACTTTTAAAAATAGACTACACTCTGTAATTGTTTCTTTCCCTCATGTTCATTTCTCACCTCATTAATATCTGCCTTCTGACCTCGCTTCTCATATGAAACTGTTCTCCAAAACTTTTCTGAAGGCAGCATAGTTACTAAAGCCTTCGATAAAGGTTTTTCAGAATGCCAGTCGCACACCTGCAAATGGAGGATTACAAGTTCAGCAACCTACTGAGACCCTGTCTCAAAAGAAAAAATAAAAAAGACTGGGGATGGAACTCGTGGTAAAACACCCTGGGTTCAATCCCCATTACCAAAAGGAAAAAAAAAAAAGATTTTCATAGTATCCATGTGGCAATATTCCAGGTATTATATCTAAAGCAGTGATCAAAACAGACAAAAAAATCCTAGCTAACCTCTTAGAGCTTAAATTCTACTGGGGATGTCAAACGCTAAACAGGATAAATAAGTAAACACATGCTACATTGATAAGAACTTTGGATTAAGAAATAAAGTGGTGAAGAGAGATCAGAAGGGTTTGGGGTATAGTTTTAGACACACTGGTCAAAAAACATAATGAGGTCTGAGACTGTGGCTCAGTGGTAGACCACTTGTCTGGCATGTGTGAGGCACTGGGTTCGATCCTCAGCACCACATAAAAATAAAATAAAGGTATTATGTTCATCTACAACTAAAAAAAAAATACATAAAAAAATTAATGAGAAAGTGACTTGAATAATGATGTGAAATAACGTAATGACAGAAAATAATGTAACTAGCATGCAGTTGGCTAGGGAAGATTTTTCTAGAGGGAGCAGTTGGTGCAAAAGCCCTGAGATAAGGATGTTTCTGCCTTGTAGATCGCCAGGAGGCCAGTGTGGCTAGAGTGCTATGTAGGGACTACATAGGTGCTTCTTTAATGTACACATGAATTGCCTAGAGATCTTATCAAAGTGCAGATTCTGATTTAGAAAGCCTGAGTTAGGCCAAAAAATAGCTGTTGTTATTGTTTTAATATTTTTAGCTGTAGATGAACACAATATTTTTATCTTTTCATTTTTTTTTTTTTATGTGGTGCTGAGGATGGAACTCAGTGCCTCACACACGTGAAGTAAGCGCTCTACCACTGAGCCACAACCCCAGCCCCAGAGTATACTTCTTATAAGCTCCTAGATAATGCCAGAGCTGCTAATATGAGGCCCATGCTTTAAGGAACGAGAGTCTAGATTAAGTAGGATTTCAGATGGGCAGAATAAACACTTTAATTTTTACTCTGAGATGGCAAAACATGAAGGGTTTTGAGCAGAGTAATGTGATCTGGCTAATTTCCAGTAGGATCCCTCTGACTGTTGTATTGAGAATAGTGAAAGGAGCAGTGGGGCTGGACCAAGAAGACTAGTTAGGAGGCTCTTGAAATCAATTCAGGTGAAGATCACTTGTGATTTTGACAAGATTATTTTTGGTGGGAGATTGGGGGCATACTCGTTAGAATGTGTTTTAAAAACATTGGGAATGGGGGTGATGAGAAGTAGAAAATTCTAGACTTTTTTTAATAAGTTATACTCCATATATGTATACCTTTAATTTATTTATTTATTTTATTTATGTTATGCTGAGGATTGAACCCAGTGCCTCACATGTGCTAGGTGAGCACTGTACCACTGAGCCACAACCTCAGCCCATCTCARTGTATTTTTGAAGACCAGCCAAACAGGATTTACCTGAAAAACCAGATGAGCAATGTGAGGAGGGAGAAAAAGCAAAAGCAATTTCAGTGTTTTGGCCTAACCAACAGGAGGGATGGAGTTGCCATTAATTTAGATGAGTAAACTGAACAGGTAGTGAAGAAGTATAGAAGCTCAGTTTTGGGAATTTTAAATTTGAGGTGTTTATTAGATAACTAGCTGGGCACAGTGATGCATGCCTGTGATCCCAGCAACTCAGAAGACAGGCAAAAAATCACAAGTTTGAGGCCAACGTGGGCATCTTCATGAGACCCTGTCTCAAAATAAAAATCCCAGTGAGTTCAGGAGGCTGAGGCAGGAGGATCACAAGTTCAAAGCCAACCTTAGCAATTTAGCAAGGCCCTAGGCAATTTAATGAGGTCCTTTCCCAAAATAAAAATATAAAAACAAGCTGGAGATATGGTTTTGTGCTTAAGTACCCTTGGTTCAGTCCCCAGTACAAAAGAAAGAACAAAACAAACCACAGAGATGTCAAATAGGAAGTTTTTTGTTTTTGTTTTCAAACAGGAAGTTTGATTAATACCAGATTCTGAAGTTAGGAGAGGTTTAGGCCAGAAAGACAAACTTAGGATCATCAGCATATAGCTAATATTTAAAGCCTTGAGACTAGATGAGATCACCCAAAAAATGAGCACTCAGCAGTTAGAAAAGAGAAAAAAATCTTGAAAACCTGAGCCCTGTGAGACTCCAGCATTTAGAAGACAGGCAGAAAAGTAAGAGTTAGTGAAGGCCAAAGTGAGTAGTTGTAGAGGTAGCAATAAAACCAGAGGCAAGTGGGGGCCTGAAAAACAAGTAAAATGAGTAAAAAGGGAGAGGAAGAGATCTAGTGTGTCAGATGCTTCTGGTAGGTTGGATAAGGTGAGGTCTGAAAAATGACTGGATTTAGCGTTGTCATTGGTGGCCTACACAAGAGTTACAAGTTCTTATCTCCCTTGGAATGGATTTAAGAGAATGGAAGACAGTGGAGGAGGTAGAAACAGGTCTTTCCAGGAGTTCTGCCGCACAGAAAAGGAGAAAAGGAAGGCCTTTAGAGGTGATGCAGAGAAAGTATTTCTGTTTAGTTTCATTTTGCTTTATTTTAAGATAAAAGTAATAATATCACACTTGTCTACTGATTAGGCTGCCCTATAGAGAAGAAAGAATTGATGATGCCAGAGAGTACAGAATTGCCAAAAATGCTGTCCCTGGTTAGACAGGAGAATATGAGATCAAGGGCCTAAATAGAAGGTTGTATGTTGGCTGTCACTAAGAACACGGGTAATTCATTCATGGTAAAAAAGGCTTTGGACATCTTTGACCACTCCCTTCTGATTCCTGTCCACTTCAGTCAGGGTAACTCCTTCCCAAACCTTATTGTCATATTTTACTAAAAGAAGAATGTACAAAATTTAATAGCTTGAAAATTGATGTTATAGTTGAAATGAAAATGACAGTGAAAGAACAAGTTGCCTGAGACATCCAAAATGATTGAAATGTTTGGAAAATAATCCCACCGAGATCAAACTGGATCTCTGGTGGCACTTCATTTCAGAGAACATGATTGGCATTGGTTTCACAGATTCTTTTACATGTTCTTTTTTTAAAGGACCTCAAAAATCCAGGAACCTCCTTCCTTAAATCATCTACTGTGTTTCCTAGAAGGGTCAGGAAAGTGATTTCTTTCATTTTCAATTAAGACTGCATCTGCTTTTGTTAACTTCTGTGTCCACTCTAATTTGGTATTTATTCCAATTCCAGTAAAACTTACTCCCTAAAATTGCCAGAGACCTTTAAATCTTCAAATGTAGCAGAATCTTTTTAGCTTATCCTATTTGACATCTGCAGCTTTTTACTTGGTTAACATCTTTTCTTCTTAAAAGTCTTCCTGCTTTGTCCCCTGCAATCAGGTTCTCATTCTCTTTTARTAACCTCTGCAGTCTCCTTTCTCAGCTTTTTTTAGTCTTTTTTTCCATATTTTTATTGATGCGTTATAATTATACATAATAGTGAGATTCACTGTTACCTATTCATATGCATACAAGTAACAATATTTTTGGTAAATATCATATCTTTCCCAGCTTTTCTAACCCATCTAACATCTAGCACTGCCTGTTATTTCTGAGGGCAAAGGCCTCTCTCTCATGCCTTTTCTTCAATTCTGTCTTTCAGGACTTCTTTCCATGTGTCTGTGGGACATTTCCACTTAATTATGTTACAGGCACTTCAAACTTGCCATTTTCTGGGCTGGTGCATGCTGTCTCTCTCTCTCTCTCTCTCTCTCTCTCTCTCTCTCTCTCTCTCTCTCTCTCNCACACACACACACACACACACACACACACACAAACACATACACACACACACACACATACTGTTCTTTCCTTGGTTCATGGTAAGTACATAATCACCAATTTGAAAACCTCAAAATTACCTTTGACTCTACAACTAATTAGAACAAGTAAAAGAAAATTATAAACAAATTTCCTGTGACTCTTATTTTTCCTCGCTATTTAAATTCAATCAATCATTAATTTCTCTCCATTCCACCTCTTAGCTTTCTCTCCTGCCTCCATCTCTTACTTCGTCTGTTACACATCGTCCTGCTACGTCTTCCTTTCTTTTGATGCACCCTGTTCTTTCGGCCTGGGATGATGTTCTTTACCTAATGAATACCTATTCATCTTTTAAGATCTCTTTGGTGAAATCCTTCTTAACACCTCCTCCTAAAATTCATCGTACCCACTACTGTGCCTCTGTGACATTTTTTACAAACCTCTGTTTTGGTACTTATAGTTTTTGCTTATAACAACCCTATGGAGTATGCATTCTTTCAGAATAATAACTGAATATTACTCTATTGCCCTTCTTTTTTTAATTTTATTTGTTCTTTTTAGGTATACATGACAGTATAATGTGTTTTGACATAACATACATACATGGAGTATAACTTATTCTAATTAGGATCCTATTCTTGTGGTTGTACATGCTATAGAGTTACCCTGGTCTTATATTCAAATACAAGTTTAGGAAAGTCATGTTCGATTAATTCTACTATCCTTCCTATTCCTTTTCCCATTCCCTTCCCTTCATTCCCCTTTGTCTAACCAATGGACTTCTATTCTTCCCTTCCCACCTTTCCTTGTTGTGGGTTACCATCCACATATCAGAGAGAACATTTGGCCTTTGTTTTTTTGGGATTGGCTTATTTCGCTTAGCATGATATTCTCAAGTTCCATCCATTTACCAGCAAATTCCATAATTTCATTCTTCTTTATGGAATACTCCCTTGTGTATATATACCATAATTTCTTTATCCATTGAAGGGCAACTAGTTTGGTTCCATAGCTTGGCTATTTTAATTTTTGTAATTTTTTTATTTATTTGTTCTAACTTGTTATACATAACAGAAGAATGCATTTCTATTCATAATACACAAAGGGAGCACAATTTTTCATTTCTCTGGTGAACACAAAATAGAGTCACACCATTTGTGTCTTCATACACGTACCTAGGGTAATGATGTCCATCTCATTCCACCATCTTTCCAGCTCCCATACTTTTTCCCTTCCCCTCCCTCTCCTTTGCCCTATCCAAAGTTCCTCCATTCTCCCATGCCCACTCTGATAATGGATGAGAGATAGGAAATCAATTTCATTCTACTATAGCACCATTTGTTGACACACTCTATTTTCTTCAATGTATGTTTATGGTGCCTTTGTCTAGTATAAGATAATTGTATTTTTGTGGGTATGTGTCTTTGTCTTCTCTTCTGAACCATTGGTCTTCATGTCTTTTTGTGCCAATACCATGCTGTTTTTGTTACTGTACCTCTATAGTATAGTTTGTTATGTTACTTCCTGCATCACTTTTCTTGTTAAGGATTGCTTTAGCTATTCTGTCTGTTGCCCTTCTTCCTGCCCCTCTGAACCTTCCCAAGTCTTCCCCTCAAAATAAATTAATAAGCAGGAGGCTGAGGCAGGAGGGTTCCAAGTTTAAGGCTAGCCTGGACAACTTAGCAAGATCCTGTCTTGAAAAAAGCAGGGTGGGAGGGTTGGGGATGTAGCTCAGTGGTAAAGGGCCTCTGGGTGGGGACACAGAGGACTCCCTAGCACATGTTGCCCACTTTTTCTTTCATTCCTTTACCACATGTGATAGAATAAATCAGTCTTCACCATCATTTATACCTTCTTTGTCCACTTCTCATAAGGATGAAACTTGGTTTGGTAACTCATCTCGAATAGATTAGTAGGAACAAAAATGTATGTCTACCTGATTCATTTATATTTATACTTGAACTAGGGATGTAGTTCAGTGGTAGAGCACTTGCCTGGTATATATAAGACCCTGAAGAATTCATTACCTCAAAACAAAACATTTATACTTGATTTTAGTGAACTTAATATTTTTCTTGGATGTTCTGGTTATTAACAAATACTATAATCCAAGAAGAAATAGCCTATGTTATGTACCATAGAGTTATTTCTTATGCCCTTTCAGAAATCTCTCTTTTGCGATGGGGGCAAACTGCCTCCGCAACTCCCAAGTCTATTCATCTTACCCATGAATAATGTTTCCCCTTCATATCAGAGATACATGAAAGGTAGTATATAAAATTCAGACTCTGTTGTAGCCTCAGAGCTAAAACAATTATATATAGAGAGGAGTGGTTATTTTTTGGAGGTGATAGATTGTATCTGGTTTTGGTAGGAGTCTTTGTGGAGCAGTCACGATTCAAACACTAAATAAAACATTTTTTCAAATGTTCTGTAACTTCTATGGAGACATTGTTTACTTTTACCAGATTGTAGTGGAGGAATGAATTCAAGTACTGGCATGTGCTTTGCTAGCAGGAAAATTTATCTTGAGCCTTGGTAAATAAAAGTTTTTGATGCTGTTGAGCCTGAACTTTTGCACTTCTGCCTGTTATTCAGATTAACACACCCAGAGGTTCCTTATGGCAGTGGAGCTACATCATCCACCAACAATCCAGAATTTGTAGAGGATCTGTCCCAAGGTCAGTTGCTTCAGAATGAGTCTTCAAACGCTGCAGATGGCAATGAACAGAGGCATGAAGATGAGGTAAGCCGAGGTCTCCTGTCACTGTCCTCTGAAACTTCCAAAGAAGCAGTCAGCAAAGAAGGTGTTGATTGAGGTGTTCATCATCTGGCTTCTTACCTTCTTGAGATGATACCTGCAGAATTTTCGATTGTATATTTCTTGTTTCAGAACCATATTAATGACTTTAATGACAGACTATTTTTTTCCCCTAACTTAAGAAATTATAGCTGGGTGTAGCTGTGTATGCTCAGCAGCTTGGGAGGTTAAGGCAAGATTGAGGATCATGAGTTCAAAACCAGCCTCAGCAACTTAGCAAGGCCCTAAGCAACTTAGCAAGACCTTTTCTTAAAATTAAATGTTTAAAAAAAGGCTGGGGATGTGGCTCAGTGATTGAGTACCCCTGGATTTGATCTCCAATACCAAAAAAGAAAAAAAGAAAGTAAGAAATTAAAGCTACTTCATATTAGACTACTCAACAAATGCTTATTGGGGCTGGGGATGTAGCTAAGTAGTAGAGTGCTTGCCTAGCATGTGCAAGGTTTTGGGGTCAGTCCCCATTACCACAAACAAACAAAATCAACAAATACTTCTTGGATGAGTGAATTACTTAATTAAATAAGTAATTAATGAGAAGACCACATGCCCTTGTCCAGAACCCTTCTGCTCACCAAGTGCTGCATCATGGAGCCTTATGTGCCCAGATATTTTTATATCATCACCAACTTTACCCTCCCATATAAACCGCCTTTTTCTGTTTTCACATGAAGGTTCCATATGAGCTTGGACTTTCCGTGTGCCTTACAAATGACTGATTACATTGTGTAGGAGGTTTTTTTGTTGTGTTTTTATTGCTGTATTGCCCAAGCTGATCTCAAATTCCTGAGCTCAAGGATCCTCCTGCTTCAGCCTCTTGAGTTCTGAGACTATAGATGCATGTCACTGCACCAAGCTACATTGTACTCTTCTTTTTTTTAGCTGGGAAAGGGTACCATCATTGATTTTTGCTATATTATTGCTTTAAAAGAGCTGATTTTTTTCATCTATTCTGTTGGCATTTTTTTTTTTCCTTGCATTACTGGGATTGAGCCCAGGGGTATTCTACCTCTGAGCTACATCCCCAGCCCTTTTCATTTTTTTATTTTAAGACAGGGTCTGACTTAGTTGCCCATACTTGCCTTGAACTTGTGATCCTCCTGCCTCAACCTCTGGAGTAGCTGAAATTACAGGCATACGCTATCATACTCAGCTAACTTTGGCATTCTTTTTTTTAATATTTTTTAATTGTTAATAGACCTTTATTTTATTCATTTATTTATATGACATGCCGAGAATCAAACCCAGTGCCTCATACATGCTAGGCAAATGTTCTACCACTGAGCCATAACCCCAGCTCTGACTTTTGGCATTCTTAAAGGTTATAATGAGTTTTTAAACAACTTTAAAATCGTAGCAGCTTTAGTTATCTATTTATGCATGTGCATATGTATGTGTGTGTAGTATTGGGGATTGAGCCCAAGGCCTTGGTCATGTTGAGCACATGCTTTACAAATGAACTACATGTCCAGCCCTCTTAGCTTTAATGCTACCAGGTTTATTTTAAATAAATAAATAATACCAAAAGACATTTTCCAAATTGGGAATTATTGAACCACATTTATATATTTGGAGGAGTACAATATTATAATTAATTAATACTTAGATTTTTTTGTCCCTTTTTGTTTATCTTTCTATTCTTGAAATAAAAAAATTCTTATATCTGCCAGGGTTGTGGCTCATTGGTAGATCGCTTGCCTAGCAAGTCTGAGGCACTGGGTTTAATCCCCAGCACCACATAAAAACAAATAAAATAAAAGTATAGCAGTGGGTTGGGGTTGTGGCTCAGTGGTAGAGCACTTGCCTTGCACACGTGAGGCACTGGGTTCGATCCTCAGCACCACATAAAAATAAATAAATAAAGATATTATGTCCATCTACAACTTAAAAAATAAAAATAAATAAATAAATAAAAGTATTGCAGCTAAATTAGATATAAAATCTTGTATCCATAAAACATTATTAACTGATAGGTCCTGTGTATGTTAAATTATGAAGCAAAAAACCGGATGTACCTTAATTCTCCTTTAAAAGGCCAAGTAAAAATGCCCATGGTAAAACATCAGTAATACTGCAATCCTTTTTTTTTTTTTTTTCTTTTTCAAAGGTGATTTAGTCTCCGAGTTAACTAAAAATTCAATATATAAAGACCTGGCTTCATAAAATATACATCTTAAGGACTAAATCATCAAGTTAAAGAACAGTCTTCATTTTAGGGTATATTATACATATTGAAATTTTTCAAGAACTAGATATTAATTTAAAAATCTAATGCTCTTTGCGGTGGAAAAGAAACTTTTTGAATAGTATCAGTGGAAAACAACTGCATGAATTATTATTAATCCCTGTGTACAGCTTGTCTCTCCTTTTGCCCTTTGCATATGACAGCATTTTATTCTGATCTGTGACATTGTTTGTCTCTCTGGCACAGTGCTGTATATGCTACTGTGCATATGTATTTAGAATATTCCCCTGTAGCTGGGTACCGTGGTACATGGCTATAATCCCAGTATCTTGGAAGAACTAAGGCAGGAGAATGCAAATTCTAGGCCAGCCAGGGAAATTTAGTGAGACCTTGTCTTAAAATTAAAGAATTTTTAAAAAGGCTAGGAATGTAGTTCATTGATAAAGCACCTTGGATTCAGTCCCCAGTACTGAAGGGGAACAGGAGTATTCTCTTGTCAGAACTCGGGACTTGTTAAGTATATATGAAGGCCAAAACTAGCAAGATCATGGCACCCATTATTCTCATCTTTTGGAATTAGAACAAAAATAGGCCTTTATTGTGATGTTTGTATTGTGGTGCCTCAAAAGGTCTGCAAGTGACCCATCTGGAATCCCTTCTTATTTAACCAACATTACAGTCATTTGTCCTGAGACACATCTGGAAAGCTTTAAATACCCAGGGCCTTATTCACAGAAAACTGCAACTCTTGTCCTATTTTCTTTGTTTGTGTTTGTTGTTATTGTTATTGTTATTATTGTTGGGTTCTTTGGGGTGATCGTTGTTGTTTGGTCTTTGGGTTTTTTTTCTGTTTTTTTTTTTTTTTCTTTGTTTTATAGCAAAGAAGTAAACGAGGAGGTTGGTCCAAAGGGAGAAAGAGGAAGAAACCTCTTCGAGACAGCAATGCACCCAAATCCCCCCTTACAGGATATGTTCGGTTCATGAATGAGCGTCGAGAACAGCTTCGAGCAAAGAGACCAGAGGTCCCATTTCCAGAAATCACAAGGATGTTAGGGAATGAATGGAGTAAACTCCCTCCTGAGGAAAAACAGGTAATTGTTCTTACTCCTGATCCTTTGCTTGCACTTGATTATATCTCAAAAATAACTTCTGTCAGAAGAACAAAGAGGATTAGACAGTTGATTTTTCAGTGTTGTCACAGCACCTAGGAGACCACAATAACAGGGTCCTTTATAACTCTTTTATCTAGCACAGTGATTTTTAAACTACAACAAGGATTGTTACAGGGATATGAGCAGAAAGAACTCTAGGACTCCCATTAACCAAAGTAGTTCCACTTATATTTAATTTATTTGCTGAGAGTTCATATAAGATTATTTTGAAAAGAGGTTCAATATTGAGAAATTAAGAAATCTATCAATGTAATTTATTTGACTGAGTTAAATGAAAAGTTATGAATTAAATGAGAAAAAAATCATTTTATAAAATTATGCAATTCACATAAGAATTTTGTTTAGGAAAAAGATTTTACTGCTTAAGTAAATTTAACCAGTATTCCAGCAAATGTAACCTACTATGGAAAATAAAGCAAGAGCTACTTGAATTCTCTCTTCTCTAAGACAGAAACTAATCATTGCCAAAATGAAACAAATCCATTTGTTAAAGAGATTGGAAGGGAATTAAGGACAAGATAGCCATGAGCTGGGTGAAGTGTCACTAAAGCAGAGTAATGATAGTGATTGTAGAATTGACTTTGGGTTAAAAGTTCCCACCCTTCCCAGAATCTGAAAGATCTATATTTCTTTTATGTCTTAAACTCTTTTATGACTTGCACTCTTTAAAATGAATTTCATATAGATTAAAACCAAATTAAAAAATTAATTGAATTCAGAAATTTTCTGAGATCAGATTAAGTTGCAACTTGAAGCTCTGTATTTATGATAGAAAGCAGTTTATATCAGCCATTGATTTGGCTTTACAAAACAATGGGACCATGGGCTGAATATGCTTGGTTGTTTTCTTCTTTTTTCTTTTTCTTTATTTCAAAATTAATGCATGCTCATTGTTTAAAATTTTTTTCAGATAATACAGAAGCATTTAAACAAAAAGCAAACGTAAGAGTTATCTCTGGGGATAACCTACTTGTGTAGGACAAGGGTTTTGTGTTTGTTTAGTTTCGTTTTATTAACTTTTTCATTTGAAAATAATTTCAAGTGCACAGAAAGTTATAAGCATAAAAACAGTACAGATCACATCCAAATACCCTTCATGGAGCTTCACCTATTAGTAACACAGTTTATCCTACTTCTTCATTTGCATACAGACTCATGCTTGCACATATCCAGTCTCTCTTTCTCTTGCACATGTGCACACCCACATATATACACACAATTTTTTTCTGAATCATTTGAAGGTAAGCTACATACATTGTGTCCCTTTATCCCTGATTAACTCAGTGTGTATTTCCTAAGGATAGAGACAGTCTCTTACATAACTATAGTACAGTTACCAACTTCATAATTTTATAGTAATACAGCACTTAATCTACATCCATATGTTGAGGTAACATTGTTCCTTTATAAGTTTCCTCTCCAGTACAGGTTCTGGTCTAAGGTTCAGTTTTGTCTTTAACCAGATCTCTTTAGCTTCCTTTAAAAGGAGTTATTTCCACAAACTTGCTTTGTCTTTTATAAATTTGATATTTTTTAAGAATATAATCCTTCTGTCTTCCCACACCACCAGCCCCTTCTGTTTTGTTGTTTTTACTTTTAACAGAACATTCCTCATTTTGTGTTTGATGTTTCTTTGTGGTTAGATTGCAGCTGTGCCTTCTTGGTCAGCATACTGCATAGGTAGTGTTGTACCCTTGGATAGAAGATAGAAGCACACAGTATCCTTTTGTTCCTCATTAGTAATATTAATTTTGTTTACCTGGGAAATTTTTAAATTCTCTCTTATGATTAAATAAGTAGTCTACAAGAGACATTTTTTTAAATATTTTTTATTTGTAGTCGGACACAATAACTTTATTTGATTTATCTATGTTATGTGGTGCTGAGGATCAAACCCAGCACCTTGTACATGCTGGGCAAGCGCTCTACCACTGAGCCACAACCAGGAGACATTTAAGAACATGTAAACTAAAAAAAAAAAAAAAAAAAAAGAACATGTAAACTGCCTCTACCACATCATAATTTCCCCTGGATCTAGCATCCATTGATGGTTTTTGCCTAATCTATTCTTTATCATTATAGTTGCACAATGATAATTTTTTAGCTCTAGCACTCCCCCATATTTAGGAGTTGGATTTCAGTTTTTTAATCTAAGCAAGAGCCCTCCTCCTCCCCCCCTCCTTTTTTTTTTTTTTTTTTGTTATCTGGTTATTATTGGTATGATAATACTTAAGTTGTATTATATCTTTTTTTAAATATTTATTTTTAGTTGTAATTGGACACAATACCTTTATTTTATTTATTTATATGTGGTGATGAGGTTCGAACCCAGGGCCTCATACGTGCTAGGCGAGTGCTCTACCGCTGAGACACAACTCCAGCCCACGTGTTTATATCTTTTATTAATGCTATACTTTCTTTTCTTCTAATGGTTTATAACTTTTTACTGTACTTAATTATTTTTATGTTTAAATTGTCCTAGATTTGGCCAGTTGAATATCTTCTTCGTCTAACGCTTAGGTGGAATAAAGTTTGGGGTTTTGTTTTTGTTTTTGTTTTGGTGCTCAACCACTGAGCCTCATCCCCAGACCTTTTTTATATTTATTTAGAGACAGGGTCTTGCTGAATTGCTAGGGCCTCACTAAATTGCCAAGGTTAGCTTTGAACTCATGATCCTCCTACCTCAGCCTCCCAAGCCATTTGGATTACAGGTATGCGCCACTGCGCCCAGCTTATTTAGGTTTTTAGTGGGGGAAGTTTGGGGGGAGTTTGATAGTGGGTTTGAGCGCAGGAGTGTTTGACCGCTGAGTCACATCCCCAGCCCTTTTTATTTTTTATTTTAAGACAAGGTCTCACTAAGTTGCTGAGGTTGGCTTCTCACTCATGATCCTCCTGCCTCAGCCTCCATAGTTGCTGGGATGACAGACTTGTGTCACTGTGCCCAGCCTGTGTAACAAAGTTTTTAACATAATTTCTCTCATTCTGGTTTGAGTTCACTTAGAAGCAATATCTTTATACTTTCTTATACCTGTTTTGATGAATGAAGGGGACAAAGGCATTAAAAATAGTCCTAGTAAGTCAATGAACTTTGTTTAAATAATTAATAGCATAAAACGATCAAAGCATGTAGATGCAGGCTCTTTCAAAGTAGTCCATTTTTAGGCACATAGGATGAGGTCATTCTTTTTATGTTCTTTGTTTCTGGCTTTAGTGCTCTACTCTTGTAGCTCTTAAAAAGCCAATTGATGTATGAGATCATTCCCTCAAAATGAGTTGGGGATAGAGAAACAAAGTAATATTCCTTTCCCTCCCCTGGGAAGGCTAAGTGTGCCTATGTGGATTCTAGAGGCCATGTGGAGTTCTTTCTGTGAGGTTAGAGGAATAACTGTAATCATTTGTGAATTTTTTATGAGTGTGATCTCAATAGAACTTATCTTCGTTAAACTAGAAAAGGTAATAAATGTTCTAGAAAGTGAGAATCACTCATTTCTTTTTATAATTGAGATTGTATTCTATTTCTTGATTCTCCTTTAAACCATCTTTTCTGAATACTCTTTTCTATATTATAATTGTCCTGTTTTCTTCAAAGTTATTGTTGATATTTTACCTAAATAATCTCTCAGTTTCTTAAATTTAACTCCACATTTCTTTCCTAGCGCTACCTTGATGAAGCAGACAGAGATAAGGAGCGTTACATGAAGGAACTGGAGCAATATCAGAAGACAGAAGCCTATAAGGTCTTCAGTAGAAAAACTCAGGACCGTCAGAAAGGCAAATCTCACAGGCAAGGTATCAGTACCAGAACCAAGTTCATTTGCAGTTGGTCATGCATGGCATAATGTCATAAAACCAAATGTTAAGAGTGACAAATAGGGCTGGGGTTGTGGCTCAGCGGTAGAGCRCTCGTCTAACACGTGCAAGGCCTTGGGTTCAATCCTCAGCACCACATAAATATAAATAAATAAATAAAGGTATTGTGTCCAACTACTTCTAAAAAATAAATATTTTTTAAAAGTGACAAATATAAAGGATATTTCTATTATTTCTTTTTTATCCTATATTAACTAACAAGTATTATCTTTGAATTTTATTAAAATCACTTTGCTCTCATTTAGAAATTTCTATCAAATTTCCATATCTGGCATCAACAATTTGGCTTGTGCACCAAGACCAATATTAATGCCTGCCCTTCTTTTCCTAATTCTCATTTTAGGTATTTTTCTGTCTCTAAATAAGTCCGTCTACTAAACTGTATAGCTGACTTGCTCTGACACTTCTAAACCTTTCATGTGCCATCTCTTCCAGCCTTCAGTKATCCTATTCATTTATTCATTCATTCATTTTTTTCATGTCTGCATGCATGCATTCAGAAAATATTTATTGAAGCCATGTGTGGTGGTGTACTCCTGTAATCCCAGTAACTTGGGAGGCTGAGACAGTAGGATCTCAAGTTTGAGTCCAGCCTCAGCAACTTAGTGAGACTCTGTCTCAAGATGAAATGGAAAAAGTGCTGTGGATATAGCTCAGTGGTAGAGCACCTCTGGGTTCAATCCCTAGTATTGGGGGGAAAAAAAAATTATTAAGCACCTTCTATTAAACACTAGGCTCTCTTCTAGCTGTTAATAATGAAGTAGTTAATAAAATGGACAAAATCCCCGATTTCATGGTTATTTATTCTCTGTTAAAATTGTTCATCACACCCTTATAAGTATTGCTTCAAGTTCCCCTTCTTCAGGAAACGCTGCCAAAGAAGCACCACCCACAACTAGTCTGTCATGCCTCAGTCATTGCATCTTCTCCATGTTCAGGCATTTTGCTTGCCAAAACCATAGTGTTATACAAACAGCCTTTGGTATGTGTTTCCTGCCTACCCTCCCACCTTATTCTCTTCAAGCATAAGAACTGTATCTGTTGTTCTCTTATGCCTGTGTGCTTTGTAAGTATTGGGTTCTCTTTAATCTTTGTTGACTAACTTATTAATAAAGTCACGAGGGAAAATATTGTATGTTGTGAGAGTACATATACAGGTAGGTTTTTGTAGTTTGGCACAGTTATATGCCTGGATTTTGTTAATATTTTCGTTTTTTGACTTAATGTTTTCCTTTTCTTTCATATTTTTAGATGCAGCCCGACAGGCCACTCATGATCATGAGGTAAATAGCCTTCTGTCTATATATCATGCATATATTTATAATAATGTTGTTCTTTGAAATGCTTTTTGGATTTTTTTTTTTTTAAATCAATAGCAGGGTGTTTCCTATCCCAGGATTCACATTGGGTTAGTTGCTTTAGCGCAGAAGTTCTTAACATATGGCAGACACTTAGGTTTTGAGTCTGCCTTTGAACTACACCCACTAGTCCCAATTCATTCCTGTAGTCTGAGAATTTTATTGACTTTAAATGCCAAAGATGGCTGGAATTCAGAGTGAGATATAGAAATGAGTACCAGATGAAGGGTCTGAACTGATCATAGTTTATCATCACAAAATATCATAATCTCACTCTCAGGACGTTGTTTAGGTAATCCAGCATTTGGTTAAGATGAACTTTTTTTTTGTTTTTTTTTTTGTACAAACGATTGAACCCGGGGTGCTCAACCACTGAGCCATATCCCCAGCCCTTTTTTATATTTTATTTCAAGATAGGGTCTCTGAGTTGCTTAGGGCCACACGAAATTGCTGAGGATGGTTTTGAATTCACAATCCTCCTGCCTCAGCCTCCTGAGACACTGGAATTACAGGCATGTGCCACCATGCCCAGCTGAGATGAACTATTTAACTACAATGTCGATGGAACACAACTGACAGTAGCTCAATTCCTATACTTTCTTTCCTGTTCCCTCATCTCATTCATACTGTTTTTATGAAAGGTCTCTTTCTTTTCATTCAGTTCAACCTCATCCATAGAATTCAGGCCTATGTTCCTCTGAATGTACAAGATTTAAGCCTGTGTGTGATGACCATGCTGTGTATATGCTTTAAATATATATGGCTATAAGAAAATAAAATCCATGGTAATTTCATGCTTTAAAATGTTCAGTGACTCCTTGTTGCTTTCCAGATCACATTTGTACTCCACATTCAGGGTTTTCTGTAATTAAGTTCCAACTTCTAGATACCTAATCTCCATTTCCTACTCACTGCCCTCAAGGTGCCCTGCCCTGCTCTGCCTCAGGCCTGTGCTCTTCTTATTTCATTGAGAATACTTTCCCTCCCTCACACAGTTCTTCACCTCCCCACTGGCCCCCTCTTTTTCTATGAGACAGGCTTCTAGTCATCTTTCAAACCCCTAGTTTGCTTCCATTTCCTCCCACTTCCTTTAACTCCCACTGCTCTCAGTATGTCTCTTATGCTCTGGCTGCTCTGACCCTGTGTTGAGGCTCTTACTTCTGTTATTCACTCAGGATCAGGATCTCTCTGAGGTCTAGTTTCTGTCTTTGTATCCAGCTCTGTACTACATAACATGAAGCCCTGGCATGGAGCCTGTCCAAAAATACTTACTGATTTTTACATAAGAACTCAAAGTTTACTTGAAATAACAATGGGAATTTGAAAAAGAGTTTTCTTGTACTCTTTTATAGTTTTTTGTTTGTTTGTTTGTTTGTTTTGKTTTGGTTTGGTTTTGGGGTACTGGGAATTGAACCCAAAGGCACTTTATCACTGAGCCACATCCTCAGCTTTTTTTATTTTTATTTTGAGTCATGGTCTCACTAAGTCTTTTAGGGCTTCACTAAATTGCTGAGCCTGGCCTTGAACTTGTAATCCTACTGCATCAGCCTCCTTAGTTACTGGGATTACAGCTGTGTGTCTCTACATCCTGCTTATATACTCTTTTACAGATATTTTGATGTTTACTAAATTAAGAAAATTATTTCTTCAAATTAAAAACTTATTTATCTTGGGACTGGGGTTGTGGCTCAGTGGTAGAGCATTTGCCTGGCATGTGTGAGGCACTCAGTTCAATTCTCAGCACCACATATAAGTAAATAAATAAAATAAGGGTCCATCAAAAACTAAAAAATACATATTAAAAAAAACTTATTTATCTTGAGGTTGTAGTTCTTGTACCTAATTTGATCTTGGTAACCTTCAAAACATGCAAAAAAGATTCAGAACCACAAAACAAATAGAAGTATTACTATTCATGAATTATAAAGTAGGAAACATAATAAATATTAGCATTTTACTCTTCACATAAATCCTACTTGAATAGTTATATATAAGATCTCTGTGCTCTAATTTACGTGAAGTGTTATGAATATTTTTGCTTGAAAAAGTTTGTATGTATACTTTGTATTTTAACTGATGATAAGAAAAATTTTGCAACATTATTCAATTATCAGCACTTGTATAATTAGTATTTATTTCTCTCTTCCTTCATTTGTGTGTCCACTCACCAATGTCATGAATATCCTTTCTCCTTTTTTCCCTTACTATGTTGCATCTCTGTCCTTAATGGTTACAAAAGAGAATTTGGACAGTAATGTGAAACAATAGGTCTCACATTTTCTAATCAGTCACTAACTCATTCCATCAGCCTGGGGTTTTCCTGGCCAAATTGTATGTGCCATTTAGGCACAGTCAAAAAGATGTAGTAAATTCAATCCATTGGAGAAGCTGCTGATGATGATTTGAGAAGTAAAGTTTTTTATTAAAATACATTGTATGATACGAATGTTTCTGATTTCTATGATTTATGTGATTTTTTTTCCTATTTGAGGATCAGATACTTATTAAAGTAAAGTTTAAAAAGAAAGAAAAGGTAGGTAGGGGGAGAACCAGCAGTAGGTTATATATGCCTGTCTATTGCTGTGCCCATATCAGGATAATGGTCTCAGCCAGGCAAGGTGGCGCATGCTCATAATCCCAGCTGCTAGAGAGGCTGAGGCAGGAGTATCACCGTTCAAGGCCAGCCTGGGCAACTTAAAAGAGATCCTGTCTCAAAATAAACTAAAAATAAAAGCTGTAGGGATATAGATCAGTATTAGAACGGTTGCCTAGTGTCTGCAAGGCCATGAATTTAATTCTCATTACCAGAAAAAGGGATAAGCATCTCATAGGTTTTTGACCCAATTAATGTTCCCCACTTTATCAGTTTAATTTTTCAATTGAATAATATATTTCTTAAATCGGGTAATTTTTTATTGATTTGAATGTAAAAGAACTGGTTTGAAATTTTTAAAACTGTTTTAAACATAAATGTCCTTTGTGTTTAAAAGTTTTTAAAAACAATTTTTAAAAATTACTTGTAGGATGCTACTTACAAGTCACTTGTGTGTGTGTGTGTGTGTGTGTGTCTCTGTGTGTGTGTGTGTCTGTGTGTGTGTGTATTGAACTCAGAGCCTTATACATGCAAGGCAAGTGTTCTACCACTGCACTCCACCCCCCTAGCTCCTTTCTCATTTTATTTTAGGACAGAATTTGGCTAAGTTGCCTAGGCTAGCCTTGAACTTGCAGTCCTCCTACCTCAGTCTCCCAAGTAACTTGGATTAGAGGTGTATGCCACCACACCCAGCTTCTTCCATATTACTTCTTAATGTGGCAGAAGTTTAGAAAAATGAGAAAGCACTATGGATAAAAAGCAGCCACGAAGGTCCCATTGAAAAGAAAAATGGAATTAGTCTTAAAGGTAACCACAGTTTGGGGGATGGGAGATGTTTTGAGCAGAGTTATAAGTTCATAAAAGAGAATATGTCTTGTAAAGTTCCTACAACATAGATTCTGAATACATACACATTTACCTTATCTTATGAGGAGCAAAATGAGAAATAGAATAGTCTTCAGGCTCATCTTGGAATGGTAAGACCTCAGAGATCTTCTCAACTGACCAGTACATTTTAGCTGTGAGAGAAGTGGCTTGCCTAAGATAGGAAAGAACTTAGGAAGAATGACTTACTTAGAGGCAGAGGTATGGCTGAAACCCAGGCCTTCTATGTAACAGTCTATCACTCTTGGCAGCACATGCCATGCTACACAGAAAAATACGGTGTTGAAAGTAAAAATGGGCCTGGTTGCCTGAGGTGTTGGCAAAATTTGTTGCTAGTGAAGACAAATTATTTGGTTTATGTATAATAAAGAAACTTATTGTCTGTCTTTTTTTCTTTTTTCTTTTCATTACTAAGGATTGAACCCAGGGCTAGCACATGCTAGGCAAGTGCTTTACCACTGAGCCACATCCCCAGCCCTTTTTATTTTATTTTGAGACAGGGCTCACTCACCAGGCTAGCCTTGAACTTGTGCTCCTCCTGCCTCTGCCTCCTGAGCAGAGGCACCACTGAGCAAACATGTACCACTGCGCCTGGCCAACCTTTTGTATTTCTAAACAGAACTTGGATCTTCAGATGTTGTTACCTAGCCAGGTACTAGAGAATGCATATAAGAACTAAAGTCAGAATGAATGATCTGCATAGCAGTGGGGCACTTCAGCCTGGTACACAATATTAAAAGTGTTCCCAAAGTAAAGGGCACTTGAGAGAAGCATATCAGACTCTGAAATTCTGGCCCTGAGCCTAGATTACAGCAAAATAGGTTCAGTTCAAAAGGGCCTCTGTTCTCTTACCCTCCACTCAATATATAGAATGAAAACTGAATTGAAGATATTCATGCTTCTGTCAAATCAAAAGGCAACCCACTAGACCCACGAGTCAACTAGCATTACCCTCAAGAATGTGTCTGCATCTCATGTGAAGACTAAGATAGAAACAATAATTTTGTTTCTCCTTTAATTTATGAGAAATGACAAAATGACACTCAGCCTGAACAAATTAGACCCTTTCAATGAGGAGGTAATCAAATCCTTATGATTTTAATCCCTCGAGCGATCCTTGGAGCTGCTTAAGTATATCCAAGCCCCCAGGAGGATCCTCTCCATGCCGAGTAATGCACTCAGTAATGGAAGAGTGCTGATGGTTTTTATTACCACTCTTCCGTTAAGTAGAATTTCTCTGTTGCATTCAGACACTGAACAGTTTCATTTAATTGCTTTAATGTTTCTGATTTTGCACTCTAAGAATCTGTACCAAGGGGCAGTGTGTTAATGCACCTATGTGGTGCTGTCCTTTGCCCTTACATCATTAGCTTGGCTTGGATTGCTCTAGCAAAGAAAAGAACAGAACTACCAGTCTGAGGGAGTTGAGACTTTGGAGAGGGATCTTTGTACTGTGAAAATGGGAGCCAGGCACCCACACTTACCCCTCTGACTGGCAATCACTGAAAAAACTGATCTCATATATGGATGTGCAGTTAAATAGGAGACTGAAAAAGGTAGGATGATTAAAGTCATAACACTTATCCTGAGTCACTTGTGGACTTGTGCTTGATGTTACACCTTGTGCATGTTGGGATTGTGTGTCCAAAATTTTCTGCTTTCCTGCAGCAACCCAGTAAGAGTTAAAATGTTAAGTAATCCAGCAGAATGGAGAGAAAGCCACTGGGAAATGTGTCTAAGATCACTTCTGGATCCAGCCTTTCTTGTCCATACATTAGTTCTTTTTGAAATCCACTAGGAACTGGCTTGAGGTAGAGCTTTACAAGTTGAAACTTGGGGCTTTCAAGGATAATTTGTAATTTTTAAATTACTCTAGGAAACTTTGCTTTCTTTCATTAGAAAGGAAAAAGGGTAAAATTAAGTTCCCTGAAATGTTTCTCAAGTAAATACATAGTTTAGCATATTTCCATCTTAAATATCTACCTTGACCTCCTGCCACTGCCAGGCAGGCCATGCCTCTCGCCCCGCTGCCTAAGCAGACACCACTGTGAAACCAGAGCCTGGCTGTTGGGATTCCCTCAGAGGCTCCTAATTGCTTGGGCACAAAGTGTCTTGGAGTTCAAACACAAAAGCTAGTGGTAACAATAAGAGAAAAGATACATTCAGTCTCTAGCTTTAAACATGTTTATATAGGACTATTTCTAAGTATTGTTTACTGGTTTTCATGTTATAAAGTTTTGGAGTCTTCAGTTTCACTAATAATTTCATCAGTACTTATTCCCTGCTGTTCCCTTTATCATTCTTATGTTGTACAAGATTTTGAACACTATGCCAAGACACTTAAGACTTATATTCATTATACTTTGAACTTTAAATTCTTTGCAGAAATATCAGCCAAACCATCTTGAAATATTGACTTTATATTCTAAGCGTCATTGTTGAATATATTTTGTGTGGTTTTGTGAGACTTTTAATGGTTTATTGGTGAATTAATGTTAGACTTTGTTATTCTTTTGTATCCCACACAATTCTTAACTCTCATTTGTAGAGCCTGATTATTTCTGACTTCTTGGTTTTCTTCATTTGTTTTTCCTGTGTCTGAAGAAAGGCTACAAGAGCCTCAAAGATAGACTACCCCACTGGAAGTACATAGAAGTACCWGTGGAGTACCATTATTATTGCTTGTGGCTTGGAAGATCTCTGTTCAGAATTCTTGCTGTCCACTCTGCAAATTTGGATTGCACAGTCCTGCCTCAGCATTTTAGATGCATAACCAAGAGACAGGACTGAAAAACACCTTTTCTCAATCCCTGCCTCAGCCACTCTCACAACTATATACAGTTGACTATTCAAAACACAAATGGCTTCTAAATTCTCTTATTAGAGAAATACATGTAGTTCGTTTAGGGTTTCTCATTGCATAGCACCTGAGAGAACTGAGTACTTAACCAGCTTGAGCTCTGTAAGTTTGATTCTAATGAAAAGGTGAATGCATTTCCCTTACAGGCTCATCTGGACTGATTCCCTTTCACCCTATTTCTTTAAGGAAGACATGATCATTGTGCCTCAGGCACTATTATTTAATTTAGCTTCTGTTTAAGAATTAACTTTTGTTCTTGATTCACAGAAAGAAACAGAGGTAAAGGAACGGTCTGTTTTTGACATTCCTATATTTACAGAGGAATTCCTGAACCACAGCAAAGGTGATTACTGCAGTGTTTTTTTGTGTCCCTCGGGTTTGACAGGGGTTTTAGTTCTCAGGAGGAGTTCATTGCTCAAAATCAGTGATGGTCGTAGCTCTCCTTAGGACTAGTCTGGAAGAATAACTGTTCTTCTTTCTCCCTATAGTAGAGGTAGTTACTCAAAGACCAGTGAAAGAGAGCTGGGTCAGTGTTGTCAAAGCTTCTTTGGTCTCTGGATCCAAAGAAATTAATGTAAATCACTAATGCAGTTGCTTTTAGATGTGTAGACTGCACCAGTGAAAGCTTAGTTGGGAGTCCAAAATATAAAGTAAGTGATTGCAAAGCTGATCCCAAGCAGTACAGATGGGTACCCACAGCTGTGCTTGGCCAATCTCCCAGGATCCCCCTGCGAAGCCCCTCCGGTTTCTCATTGCACAATTTTAAAAAGCCAAATCTACAAACAAACAAACAAAAAAAGTCAAGGAATTGCCACTGTTTGTTGCAGTCTTATGTACAGAATGTACAGCTTTAAGAATTAAAATAGCTCTGGGGAACCAGGCGTTTCAGTGCTGAATTGCTATCTGGAGCGCCGTAATGAGAATAGGGAGATGAGATGGGGGTAGCTAATGAGAGACAGCTAAGCAGAACTTCTTTATAAAGAGTCATTGGGACTCCTCGGAGACTCCTTCTTGTGCTGCATGTGTTCTGGTGTGGGGGGTGTCCTCAGCTCGGGAGGCAGAGCTCCGCCAGCTTCGTAAATCCAACATGGAGTTTGAGGAGAGGAATGCAGCCCTGCAAAAACACGTGGAGAGCATGCGCACGGCGGTGGAGAAGCTGGAGGTGGATGTGATCCAGGAGAGGAGCCGCAACACAGTCCTGCAGCAGCACCTGGAGACCCTGCGGCAGGTGTTGACCAGCAGCTTTGCCAGCATGCCCTTACCTGGTAATTGCACCCTACCTGGTAATTGCACCCTACCTAGAGCCGGGTTGGGAGGTTGCTCTTTATGTTTGTATTTGTATGGGGAGATTGAAATCTCCCCCAAAGCGAAAAATCAATAAAATAAGACATTTTCCCTCCTCAGGATTTTCTGTGAGTTATGTAATAGAATGTCAACATTGGCTAAAATCATCCAAAATTTCAGGTTCTCTGATCATTTAAATTTTTGTCCTTTTTTGTTTTGTTTTGTTTTAATATAAACTATTTTCCTTTCTGTTAAACTTAAATTGATATTCAAAACATGGAAGCAGTAGTAAATGTTGAAGAGAGCACTTTCTCTTAGGAATATTTGCTTGCCTTGTAGGGGTGTGTGTGTGTGTGTGTGTGTGTGTGTGTGTGTGTGTAAAATGGGAAGGAAGAAGAAACAAGCACTGGTATTTTTTATATACTCTTTCATTTTGAGGAAAGTCACAACAGAAAGTTAATGGAGTCTCTTTTTGTTATATACAGCTGAGTACTCATACATACTATAGTATATAGCCTGTCTGTTCATTTAGAGTATGTGGATTTACTTCATTTCTTTGAAGTCTACAAGTCTCGCCTATAGAATTAAAATTTGCCTGTGGAGCAGGCCACATTAGAGTCACAGTTTGTTTTTCTGTGGAGTCCCTTAAATGTTTTGTAGCTGAACTGAATTGGAAAGATTTTCTTATTCTTTCTCTTCTTGTCTCACTTCAGGAAGTGGAGAGACACCAACAGTGGACACCATTGACTCATACATGAACAGACTGCACAGTATTATCTTAGCTAATCCCCAGGACAATGAAAACTTCATAGCCACAGTTCGAGAAGTTGTGAACAGGCTCGATCGTTAGGGACTGGTGAGTGCTCGCTGATAAGATTCATATGCCAGCACATCATCAAAAATAAGATGTCATCAGACTTTATTGGTGCTACTAAAACTGTAGAATTATATTGAATGAATGAGCTAGAAACTTGATTTAGGTTCCTGTTGCATGGTTGCTAAAAGTCTTTCTAAATGATATTAGAAAATTAAATCAAAACAGTTTTTTCTCATGCATGCCTCGGAATAATTCAAGGAAAAAACATGACTTTGTGATTGGACTTCAGTTCTGGGTATACAACTTATTCTTTCTTGGGTGGTTTTGTTTTGTTTTGGCTTTTTTTGCTTGTTTTTTTAACAGTACTAGAATCTGAACCCAGGGGCACGGCACTTTACCACTGAGCCACATCCCCAGCCCTTTAAATTCTTTATTTTGAAACAGTGTCTTGCTAAATTGCTGAGGCTGCTTTGAACTTGGGATCCTCCTGCCATTTATTCTTAGGTATTAGTTTCTAAAGTATCTTGAAGACTGGTGAGAAACTTAGAAGAAATCATTCCCAAAGTAGCTCTCAGAACAAAATAAATATCACTTAATTGTTAATCTTTCTTCTCACTGAAAAATATTAATGATAATTTGTAAGTAGTCAGTGAGAAACTGTATTATATGAGCCTACATACGTAAAAAGCATTCTCATTCACCATTCATTAACTCATTATGTTAAATGCTGATGTGAACTAACTGTATAGTGAATRTGAATGCGTTGATTTTAAAAGATTGAAAAAATTGTACTCAATAAGCAAAAAGAGACAAGAGAGAAAATAAGCTTTTAAAAAATATATTCAACAAATGACTAGTAGTGTTGCATCTTTTAAAGGAGAAAATAACTGCGTTCTCAGAACAAACTCACCCAAGCAAACTTTTTGGTAATAATGGTAAGTCGTCATAACTTGTGTTAAATGAAATTAGTACTTATTCATTCAAATTCCTAGAGAGAGTTTCCCTTTTAGTGTGCCATCCCTAAAATTGTCAGCCCTAAGGTCTATTGACAAAATTGTTCCATGCCTGTGGACACATAAAAAATGTGGAAATCTTAAGGATTGGACCGTACAGCAAGATGGCCAAAAATGAAAACAAGTCAGTGCCAGGATGCTCCTTAGAAGCATCATGGGTTTGAATCTTTATTTGTCCTGCAGGAATGGGGGCACCCTAATATACATAATTTACATTCTAGCTTTGTTTGGATTTTGAGCAACATGCATAGGAACAAATAAAACCCATGATTCTTTATCTAATGAGGCAACATCTGCCAGCAGAGACAAAGGTAGAAGTCTTTATCCTTCTTGGTCATGCCCTTGGATGGCAACTGTGCAAGACAATTCATTATTATTTTAGCTTGCACCAGGCTCATATGGGGAAAGGATTACCATCCTTCTAGTGAGTAGCCAGATGGAACGGACTGTACTTCTAAGAGACAGTTGGACTCCCTGCAGAATAAAGAAGTGGCATTACTGCTGCTGCTTATGAAAGAAACAGCTTGTAAATCTAGGCCTGGGATTTTCAGGAGCTCATCATCCTTCTCATTTTCACACAGTGTTTTCAATTAGCACTCTTGTAAGCTTGAAAAGAGAGAGCTGAGAGAAACAGCATGAGAGATTGTGAAAGAAAATAGTAATTGATAACATGGTGTCGCCTCACCTAGGTAGAGGGCAGTGAATGCAAGAATGAAGCCAAGAGTGGTTTTCCATTTTGACCATTTTACCATTTTACCATTCAGATTCTCCTAACACTCTATCCATCTTAAGAATATAGCTGGAGTACAAGTTCTCTGAAGTGTCTTTGAAAACTGTAGATTATTACCATCGTCCTTGATTTTAATGTACAATTTTTTTTTAAATACATTATTTTGCAGTATTGGGGATTGAATCCAGCACTTCACATATGCTAGGCAAGCACTCAATTTTGAGACAAGGTCTCAAGTTGCTGAGGCTAGCCTCCAAGTTGCAATCCTCCTAACTCAGACTCTGAGGTAGCTAGGATTACAGGCAGATGTGCCACCATGCCTGGTGACATACAAATATTTTGTCCTTGAAAAATTACCTGAAAATGTAAACTGTTATATTTACTACAGATTCTTAAACTCTAACAATGCAAACATAACTAATAGATATTTCCCCACACCCCCCAAACTGTCAAATGAAACAATTATAAAGAGTGTGATTAATACTAGCTTGGCTTCATTATACAAATATGTACAGACAGCTAGGCCTGATGTCCCCAGCACTCATGGTGCAATTAATTACTCTGACATGAGCTTGGCAAAGGTTTCATTCCACTGTCGGGAACCATTGAGTGAAGCAAAGCTAATGGTCTGCAAGTTTTAGAGGAGCCTATCAGAGCTGGAAGGACCTTTAGAAATCCAGCACTTTATAAAGAAACTGAATCCCAAAGAGATGAGATGACATGCCTGAAACTACTGGGTAGAAGAGCACAAAAACCAGGACAAGAACACAGACATCTCAAGTCTTCTCATTCAGTGGGGCTTCTAAAATATTGCTATAATAAGGAGGCACTGTTGGAGTAGGGCAAAAGTACTAAAAATTCTTACAGTAGAGCATTAAGGAAAAGTATTACACTCCATCAATTATGATGTAATAAAATTCTGACCAGCCCATTTAAAAAATATTTTTGTAGTATATAATGAAAGAATTTCCTCAGCTTTCACCTTTCTTAGGGCTCACTGGTACCCAGTCACCAGTGGAAACAGGAGGAAGTCATGGGTGATTTTAAGTTGAGAGGTGACCACTCTAAATCTGTTTTGCAAGCCAAGTGCAGTAGCACGCACCTGTAATACCAGTGGCTGGGGAGGTTGAGGCAGGAGGATCAAGAGTTCAAAACCAGCCTCAGCAAAAGCAAGATGCTAAGCAACACAGTGAGACACTGTCTCTAAATAAAAATACAAAATAGGGCTAGGGATGAGCCTCAGTGGTTGAGTGCCCCTGAGTTCAATCCCTAGTACAAAACAAAAAATCAAAAAACTATGTGTTGCTCAATTGATATATATTTGACTGAGGATTGACCCAAAAAAAACAATCTTTCATATATGATTACATTTTTATCAGTATAAAAATATTTATTCATTATTTGTACATAACACATTCCTACACAAGCAGATATCCTCAGGTTTATACTGAGGAAACTTGGKTTTGATTGGACTAAAGTGGGGTCCTAATTCCCCTTATCAGTCCTGATAGTTACTTTTCTGTGTTCAGCTGCTTATTTGCTACCTCCCATTGTTGCCGAACTGGAGCAGGACCATGCTTCTCACTGAAATGTTGACAGAAACATCTCAATGAGGATGTCTGCTTGCAGCTTTACTAGCTCTTTCTTTTCTTTTTTTCTTTTTTTTTTTTTTCCTTTGGTGCTGGGGATTGAACTCAGGGCCTTATGCATGCAAGGAAAGTACTCTACCAACTGAGCTATATCTCCAGTCCCTAGCTCTTTAATTTACATACTCCTTAACCCTTATGAAAATAAAATAGAGCGTTTTTTAAATCCATTAACCCTAACCCCTTCTAATCTGTCTTTCCTTTTTGGTATTCCCCCACAGAATATAGGTTTTAGAGCTCCCAACTTGTTCTTGTAAGCATTTTTACTTGTGCGGAATGAGAAGCCATCCATGGATTTTTGAACTGAGTTGGAGCAGAAAGGACTGCAGATCCCTTTACTTGGGAAAGAATTGTCAGTGAGTGAAATACCTTCACCCCAGGAAGCTGCGTGAGGGAGCAGCAAAAGGCACATGTGTGTGAACTTCCTGTGGAATCACCCTCCAGTGATGCTTTGAAAGTGTGCGGCCACTCTCCCAAGTCTTCAGCTCCCTATCATTTCCATTTCTGCTAAAGCAGCTCTACATATATTCTGCTGACTAGGTGACCCTGAAGCTGACATCTTCTGCAGCAGAAGGAAGACTGCCTATTGCTGCCATTCTGATTGGACCCTTTTATCAGTGGAGCTCCACTTTTCTTACCTAGCTGTCACTTTTTTTTAATGCCTTTGGGGGTGATTTTTGCTTCCCTTCACCCCCACCAAGCTGTACATCTCCATTTTCTGACCTCGGGGCCTCACTACTCAGCGGGGCTCTGAAGGAGACTTTCTCCCATTGGATGGGCCCAGTCTTCTCCCATCGTTGCCCTGCTGTGACTCCAAAGAAAGGAGCTTCTTGTTGACAGTGCCCTGTGGAGCCAGGCTGTGTTTCCTGCCCCACATGGTGCTCCGTGGGTGCCCGCCCTCAGCAGGCTCTGCAACTGCAGCCCTGAAGGAGAATGGCTCTCCTCCTCCTGCCGCCTGCTGCTCTCTGAGCATTGCTCCTGCACAGAAGCCGAGTCCCAGCCTCAGCAAGGCTCTTCTGTCTGTTGGCAGTGTCTTGCGGAGCTTTTTTGCCGAGGAAAAGGTCATTGGTAAACACAAAGGAAAGGAGTAGTTCTCATTTGGTATTGAAAGAATGTCCAAAGTTGATCCTCAGTGAAAACTGTGGGAATCCCTGCTTTTTTAGGTAATCAGATCCTTGGATGTAGATAGGTAGGAGAGGCTTTGGGAATAGTCTCTTGTGCTGACTGAATGGGCACGGAGGAGTTCTCATGCCCTTTGTCTTCCTTCAGTAGCCATTAACTGCCAAATCTAGGTGGAAAAGTCAGCCTTCCCTTCCTCCCTCTACTTAGTAAGGGATTTTTGTTTTTTAACGGCAGAAGTGAAGAGGGTTCTGATTCTCTCCTCAGGGTCTTTTTTTTCTTTGTTTCTTTCTTTCTTTTCTTTATGCTCTAGAGCACAAGGCTAAGGTGGCAGCTGAGATCTTTGGAACCAAAGCAGAGCATGCTGAGCCCATTGTCTAGGCACCCCACCACCAAAGGCAGGTGGATGGACGAGTGGCCCCTCTCATAACATGCTGACAAGCCAGGGTGCAAGCCAGAAACCCCGTCGTGTCTCGTAGCTGCACCATCCTGTCCTCTCAGCCCTGCGTTCTCCCTCTTTGTTCTTTCTTAGTCCAAAGGAAAACAACAGCAAAAACAATAACAAAAATCTTCTTTTTAAAATTTCTTATGTGGACACACATCAAATTTCCATGCACTGAAGCCCACACACCACCGCATGGCAATTTTTTAGAATAAGACCCTTTCTTATCTATTGCTATAAAGCCAGCCAAGTCTCCTGCCTCTCTGTACTTTCCACCGTCCCTGCTCTCATCTGCTGTTTTTGCCACTTCTCTTAGATTTCTTGCCTGCTACGTCTAAGCCAGAACTCATTGTCCGTGGCAGAAGGTTGTCCAAACTGGTTCAGGAAGTTTGTGTCTGCCGCCTGCCAAATGCTTTCTGTCCTTTTTTCCTTCCTCCTAGTGTTGCTGTTTCTCCTTCCCGTGAAGTTTTGTGAAGCTTCAGTAGTACTGTTTTTATGACCATGAAAGGCTGTAACTTGGTCCAGAGTTCATCCCTGACCCTAGCTGGACACCTCACAGTGACCAGACATGTACATGAGCTCACCAGAGCCCGCAGTACCCAGTCATTGGTGCAGACACTGCAGCTTGCTTCCCAAATGAGGGCTCTCCCAGGAGCCCCACACCCAATAGGTGTGACTGGGACTCAGCTGCCACAGAACCTCTCCTCTGCACTCACCAAGCAGGTGGAGGGGAGGTTATACCCTGGCGCAAGACCTAAGTCATGTTCCCTAATAAATCTGAAGAGGTTACTGCACTTTCATGTTCTTCTCAAGAAATAAGCTGTTGCCTATCAGTGTTTCCAATTAACTTCCTTCCTTTTATAAAACACAAGCAGCAGCTGGGGAAAGGGAGAAAAGATTGTTTTCTTTCTGACAAATTTTAGAAAAAAATATTGTGTACATGTGTTTGGAACTGTTGAAATGCCAAGTTTTCTGTACAAGTGTTTTTGTAATTAAACTTTTAGATTTTGTTTTTTAAGAAGTTGATATGCTTGCTTGACATTTGTCTCATTAAAACTTTTCTATGTCGAATCCACCTGATCCAGTTTTACTTGCATTGTAATGAAAAAAGAAGACCTGCCTCTGCTTTTTCCTCTTAAAGCCTTTGTCAACCCTACATTCATCACAACTATTAGGCTTTGAAAACAGTAACACATTCATTTTACTAATTGCTTATTCAAAATGTGTCTTCACCTGTTTGAGATTTCAGTTCTTTGAATGTATGTTATAACAATACAATGAGTTCTAATTCATTTTAATGTGGCAGTAGCATTCTGGAGGCGACTTGAAGGAGCCTTTTAAGTCAGTGACTCTGAAGTCCCCTTGAGGAGATCTTTTGACAGAAGGGGTAAGTTGTGCTTAAATGCTTGGTTTGTTTTTTGTTTGTTTGTTTTTTTAAATAACCGCTACTTAGCCATTCAAAATATTTTTAAAAGATGTTTGTCACCTATTTCTACCACGCTTTTACAATCTTCAGGGGAAGACAACCTGGCTTCCAGGGCCTACTGTTCTCCAGGTAGCCAGTCATCTGGCATTGAGCAAGTCTCTCTTTTGTTTCAACTCCATCTTGCCCCAGAACACATGCCCCAGCTCTCCTCCAGCATTGTTGGAGGAACAGAATTAGGCAGCAGAAGTCACCGCGCTTCAGAAGATTGGAAGTGTTTTTTATGTGATGCCAAGAATGATCGGCATATCAGAGTTATGATTTCGGTTCGACCACATTTAACAAAACCCCAAATAAGCATTAGCTTAAATAAGAAGCAGATCTCTCTCAGAGAAATGTCCACACCAGTCCAAGACTAGTGTGGAGGCTCCCGTTGGCACTATAACATGGTTTTTCTCAAGGTCACCTCATGGTCCAAAATAGCCCCTTGGCCAGTAGCCATCACTTTGAAATTCCTGGCAGCATGAAGACAAGGCAAGGACAAAACGGGCAGGCCTAGATTAGTTCCAGGACTCTTCCTAGAAATCATAATCAACACTTTCACTTAATTTGGCCAAAACTCAGTCACATGACTGTAGCTAGCTGTAGGGGAGACTGAAAAATGTCATCCTTGTGTGGACATTACTGTTAATATATAGTAATACACAAGCTTTAGTAAGGGAGCAGGTGGAAATGAATATACTTTTACAATTCGTTTGACTCCATTAAGCCCAGCCCCACCATATTAGTTAACAGAATGTATTACCTTTCCTTTGCCTCTTGGCCATCTGAAAATGACCACTTCCTTGTTTTTAGATGTTGAAAAAGAAACCCAAAAAACTAGCTTGGGGGCCTGAGTTGGCATTTCCTGTTCCTACCTTAGCTCCTCCCCTACCGGTCAACAGCTGGCAGCCAGGCTTGTTTGGTAAAAGTCAACACAAACAGGTGGTAATACTTCCTCCAGTTGTTTGTGCCCTTTCTCTAACTGTTCTGCATCTGCTGGATTAAAACAACACCAGGATAATCTTTCCCTAAGGTGGGGATATTGAGAGATTGTTTGGCAGTAAAGTTCATAGCTACTTCCTGCTCTCTGAAAGAATTTCCTGCCTTGCAATTGAGAGTTCCAAGATGGGCTTTTTCTTTGTTTTATTTATTTACCTTTGACACGTAGCCTGCGCTCAAATACATACTTTACAATATCTGTAGATATAAACACCGGCTCATACACTAGCTCATAAAAGGGGTGGGGACTGAGTCAGGAAAGATCCAGCGAAAATGTTAATGTCTATTCATTCAACTGGAATGGGAATATGTGCCTTCAGAGAGAAACTTTCACCAGATATAGAAATGTACGGTCTCTAAGCCCAGCAAAACACAGAAAGAAGGAGCTACTAGAGTGTAGGCATAGCACTGAAAAATTAAGATCAGGCAATGCCAATTTTCTAGACAGGACTTTTGTAATCACCAGCAACACTAGGTCAGTGGGAAGGTCCAATGGTTACAAGGCTAGGGGTTCCCTTGTTTGTATCTGCAACAATCCCACCAACACTGAAGAGCCAGAACTAAACAGTTGCACTATTTGGACTATAAAAAAGTGTTTGTAAAACATGGTTTCTGATAGTCTAATAGGAAAAATAGAAAGTACATAAAGTACATAAATAGAAAGTACATAAAGTACTGAGTCCTCCCCCATCCACACCCCTCCCAATTACTGGGGATTGAACCCAGAGGTACTTTACCACTGAGCTATACCCCTAGTGTTTTTTTGTTTTGTTTTGTTTTGTTTTGTTTTTTATTTTGAGGCAGGGTCTCACTAAGTTGCCCAAGCTGGCCTCAGCCTGGAACTTGAGCTCCTCCTGCCTCAACCTCCCAAATCAGTGGGATTACATATATGGGCCACCTCATCCAGTTGTTGTTTTTGTTTGTTTGTTTGTTTGTTTTTTGGTACTGGGATTAGAGTAAACCCAGGAGTGCTTAACCATTGGGCCACATCTCTAGCTTTTTTTTTTTTTTTTTTTTTTTTTTTTTTTTTNAAATTTGTGATCCTCTTCCCTGAGTTTTCCAAGTTGCTGGGATTACAGGTGTATGCCACCTGGACTGGTTAATTATTTTTTCTCCTCCTCCTCCTCCTCCTTCTCCTTTATTGATCTGTTGGTACTGGGATTAGAGTAAACCCAGGAGTGCTTAACCATTGGGCCACATCTCTAGCTTTTTTTTTTTTTTTTTTTTTTTTTTTTTTGAGACAGAGACAGGGTCTTACCAAGTTGCTTTGTCGCTAAATTACTAAGGCTGGCCCTGAGCTCAGGATCCTCCTGCCTCAGCCTCTTGAGTGGCTAAGATCATAGGTGCACACCACCACACCTGGCTGCCCAGCTATTCTTGCTTGTATTAAGAGTTTTAATAAAGGTTTTTTTGTGTGGTTAGTTTTTTTGAATTGTGTGTGTTGCATACCAGGGATCAAACCCAGGGCCATCACTATGCTAGACAAGTGTACTAACCCTGAGCTATGTTCCCATCCTCAGGTAAAAAAAATTTTAAGGAGTGAAAGAATTGCTTGTATCTTGCCTGACACTATAAGTTCAAAAGGGAGTAGATCAGAGTCTTGGGGGATTAGTAACTTAACTAATAAATACTTTTTCTGAAATATAAGCAAAATTTATATTGTGGAGATGGGGATATTGAGAGATAGTTTGGCAGTAAAGTTCATAGCTACTTCCTGCTCAACCCAGGACCTGGTACATGCTAGGCAAATATTCTAGCACCTACTCCAACTGCAGAGTTCTTAGGTGGTTAAATCAGTGAATCCATGGAAAATGCATAAGAGTAGAAAACACATAAATATAAATTTACAGTTTATGCAAGACTCAGGAATAAAAGAAACAATTAGACACACCCTGTAGGTGAAGCACTCTGTTCTGCTTTTTATACAAATTATGTTATTTAATTCCTATAACTTTACAGAGTAGGATTACTATACCCACTTTGAATGAAGATTCAGAGATGATAAGTAACTTACACAGTTATACAATTAGAAACAGGTAGAGAAGGATTCAGCCCCAGATTATTCTATTCCACGCCACTGTAACTGCGCTGTCTTGGAGGTGTCTGGTGAGTTTGGTAGGAGTTGACAGCAACAGCCTAGTGTGGTGGCTTTGAGAGCTGGAATTAGATGTATTCGTCCAACAATATGTGTTGAACTTCTCTCTGTATCAGGAACTGTTCTAGGTCCAGGGAGCTTGTATCCTGCTGGGGGAAAAGAGAGGGTTAAAAAATGACCTAACATACTCACTTCAGCCACTTACCAAGATGGAATGGTACAAGCTAGGGTCCAGGAAAGGCATTTTTGAAAAAGTATCTTTCAAGGCTGAGACAGGGGAACCGTTGAGTTCAAAGCTGGTGTCAACAAAAGCGAGGTG